CCCCAAAACCCCAAAACCCCAAAACCCCGGCATATTTTTAAACTAGCTAAGTGATTTTTCTTAAAATAAATAAAAAGTTTTAAGTTTAATAATCAATAATTTATTCAAAGTTAGAGATGGAGGGGTCTAATTTCAACAATAATAACAATATGTATGACAATAGCTAAGATCGGAGACTAAACAGATCCCCTGACTACGGATCAGCTAGGCAGGAGCAAGACCCTTCACATGAAAATTTACTTGGTGGTCGTGGGGTCTACCAAGATTCAAGGGGAGAATATGTAAGGAAAAATTTAATTTTACAATACAATATTACACAACCAAATGACTTTCTAATTAACCTATGTATAGGATCTCACTCATTAGATGTATATTAGAATTGTATTAATCATACTCTCAATCATTCTTTTGACTGTTGTGAGCTTGAGTTAATCATTCTTGTTAAATGAAAAAGTAGCCTGTATGGAGGATAGGCTATTCGATTTGACTGAAGGCCTAAACTCTTATTTTGCTTAGAACGATAGAATGAGAGATGCTTTCCTAATCATCTGCGGACTTTTAATGGATATTATGGTTTTGACACAGTTCTACAGATTTGCGAGGTATGGAACATCGTGGCGCCTCCCTATCGCGATGTTCGCTTTCTATATATTCAGGGCTCTAGTCTAGGTAAGATTAGTCTTAGGTTAAACTGTTAGTAACTCTTCTGGATGCGCTATCCTGATGGATATCTCTGGGACTTCCCTGGTTTCTATTCTATTACTGTGCCCTATGGAAAGACCAACGACTTTTTCTTCTCTGGACATATAGGATGCTGTGTCATCCAGATTTTCGAGTTCAAAGCAAATAATTGGAACAAGTTTGCTTATTTCAGTTTGGTTACTTGTGCTCTCTAATTTGCACTCATGATATGTCTTAGGGGCCATTATTTTATAGACTTGGTGTCTGGCATAGTTTTCGGACATTATTTCTGGATGCTCGCAGAAAAGTACTCTTACTTAGTAGACGTTTACATCTTCAGAATTCCTTTCCATAAAAGATTTCCCTACTTCAGCCATGCCTGCGGGAACTGCCAGCATCCTATACAGTTATGGGCTACACCCCACTCTGAGAATCATTATCTTAGGTCGGCTGAGATGGGCGGATTAAATATTAATAGTTAGTAAGAAAGTCACTTAGCAGAGAGTCTGCATGAGCATTGAAAGTAATTCATTGGCAAATATGGTCGCAAAGCTAGTGCTTGATAAAGAGAGTATTAGTAATTTTTAACAAAAAGATAAAACCCTCCTCTATAAATTGAGCTATAAATATTAACCAAGCCAAGCATATGCTTTATTGGCGACTGTTAATGTCTCCCAATATAAGTTTATCAATTTATATTTAAAAATGAATCGCTTGTCACAATATCATTTGCACTATGCGGGGTTTTGGGGTTTTGGGGTTTTGGGG